AGTACATCTCTAGCCAAAAAGTGATACAATACAAAAGTGCAAGAAAGAAAAGCATGGACAGTTCATTTGTACAAATAATGAGGATGGCTGGGGTTGAAGAGGTTAGCAATATTGTGACTTAGGTCTAAGTAAAATAAATGACTAAATGTCACACATTTTTGCCCCATGTTTTTAAAAGAACAATGTCAAATAATGTCAGGGAATTTGACAATTTGGATTTGTTTTTCAATCCACCCCTATGAAAGCTGCTCTATTCACCAATTTTGTATCTAAAAGCACAAAAAAGGGCTAAGGTAAACCAACTACTCTACGTAGGTAGCTATCAAGGGATGAAGAGCAAACTTGAATCCAACAGTGATACTTTCAAATAATTTTGTTCTGTTGTAAAGCTTTCCCTTCATTGAACAAAATATTAATGTCTGGTTGTCTAAGTCCTAGCTTTAAGTGACAATATCAGGAGGAAATTATCGCTCATCTCAATTAATTATTTAAAAAATCCAACTTAGCAGATCAGTTAAGTTTAATACTTCTACTGAACACTGTAAGTACTACCTACATTAAAACATTTTGTTTTTCCTTATTAATCTGCACTGCACGATTTTACTGAAGAACATTTCCTCCGGAAAAAGGAAAAAAAAAGCTTGCTTTCTTTAAAAAGAAGTCTGAGGGCTTTGTACCAATCTGGGCATAAAGACAACCATGGCTACCCAGGGTATATTGTCTTTTCTAACAAAATAACAGCACAATTTCCAACCTAATTTAAAGTTAAATTATTTAATCCGCAAAGATTTTTAAATAACTTTTTATTTAAGGGAAGCACAGTTACTGGTTTTTAAAGTCTATCGCTAAAATGTAACGGGAAATATTTTGCTGGCAGCACAATGTAATCATGGAATCAGAATGCCCAAGCAGGTTTCCTTAGGGCCTCAAGGATTAAATGTAGAAAATACTAAAATAGAGACCAAAGCTCCAGAGATGTAACTTTCAATACAGATGCCTTCCTGCTAGTCATTTCATTACCCATTTCCAATCTTTCCTTCTTGTAACCTAAGAAAACCACGAGGTAATATTTCATTTTATACTTATTTCAACTCAAGCAGCCACCTCATAAAGCTAGAAGACCAACTATTAAGACTAACTATGCATTTGGCTAAAACAACCCCTACTTAGAAATAAGCTTGTTTCATCAACACTATTTTTGTTAAAATGTTTATAGGGGCTACAACTGGAGTCCATTAAGCATGCACAAACTGATTAAGCTAACAGGGCAACATTTTTATAATGGAGAAAAATGAGTAACAAAAAACTCAATGCTACAGAAAGGTCAATGCTCATCAATAACACCATTTCGGGTGTTTTTTTTTTCAGTTAACAGTTTACTGTACTGTAAAACAATGTATGGAAAAATCCTCAAAGATAGTAGTCTCTGGGGGTGGATGTGGTATTGAACCAGAGACCAAAACAACAAACACCACCAGACATGCCTACAGCAGATGTAAGGCTGTGCTTTTAGGAAATCTGCAAAAACATCACTCATAAGTTTATATTGATAAAACATTCAGTACTTTCCAGAAAATATAAATTTTATTTCAAAAGAGGGGGGGAACCTCATCCAACAATGTTGATCTGAAAATAAACTCCAAACCTCAACTCAAAGAAAAGATTTTTAGGGAATTAGGATATACAGAAGAACTTTTAGCTTGCAGCTTAAAAGACAATACTAATGAGTGACACTGCCTATTCCTGTATGGCTCACAACTCAAAATACTAACACTTAAAAATTCCAAAACATCAATCGCCATACTTGTAAATTACAATGATTAGATCGTGTCTGATCCAGTAACAAAGTGATACGGTTCAAGAGATACATTCAACTATATAGTTCTGTCCTCAGACACAATATGAAATATGAAAGCATTAATACTCATCACTTAGCAGAGACTTAACTGGGAAGAAAGAAATGAGGAAGGCTACAAGGCAAGTTCCATTAACACTTTCTCAGCCCACCTGAATCCTTCAAACTTTTGATAATACCCATTAGTACTTACCTTGTAAAATAACTAATAATTTCATTGTGAAAATACCAACTTCTAGTTCCAAAGTCCATAGTAATTTAAATAATGTTTTAAAGCATTATTTAAACAAAGGAAATGTACTTATTTCAACTTTTATTAATTGGTTGAGACTAACCAGAGGCACCATGATAAGGAAAGAATGCCAAGTATTTCTTCAAATTTGGTATTACTTCTTAAAGAAAGTAATTTGACATTTTTAGAAAAGGCTGTAGTTTTGAAAAACATCGTTTTGTGCTCAAAACTACTCATTATAGAAGGGCATCTTTAGATAAACAAGAGAAAAAAAAACCTTGAGATATCTTATTCAAGAGTTATTTGCTGGCTTCAATTTTAAAACTTATTACCACTGAAACCTTGAAATTGCCCGAAAGAAATTTAAAGTAGGATCCTTGAGGTAGACTCATTTGTACAAACCAGTGACGACTTCAGAGAATTTTTAAAACCAGATGGTATACAACCCTCAGCCCTATACACTGTGACCATTAGTAGGTTTTGAAGACTTCTTATCCCCAATATTACATTATACCTTTAAAATTATTACCAATTCTTCATTTTCTTTAGACTTCAGAATTGTGAAGTGACACGACAAAAGCATATTTTCAAAGAAAAGGTGCTATTACCACTTTACAAAATGTTAAACATTTTTGGAATGTATTTAAGAGACTAGTAAGAGATGAAAATTATAATACTTTTACATATTGTCCATATAAGGAAGCTAGTTGACAAACCACCTTTGAGATGGTTAATAATTTAAGTCTCACAAATAAGCAAGGGATAAGGAATACACAAAACTATAGTTTGATGTATCCACATATTCACCCAATCAAATATTAGTTACCAAACTGAGGACAGTTTGTTTCACACTTAACCTTATTAGTATAAAAGTTTACGGAAATGATCAACTTCAAAAGCCTGAAGGGAGAGTAGAGGAAGAAACTAGTTACTGGGGAAGGTGGGAATTGCTGGGGTGAGGGAAAGTCTGGACTGGACAATCCAGGTAAACTATTATTTACGTTACAACGGTCCAGAAGGCTTAACTATCTGGAAGCCAATGAGGCATGTTAGGTCTGATGATGCCATTTATTCCAGGAATATCCAAGAATGTATTACCTTGAACACGCTTTTCACTATTTTCAAGGACTGTAAAGCTGAGCCTTGAAGAACCTTGCATTTAAAACCGGCCACTCGGGCTGGGAAGGTGGCTCAGTGGTAGAGCGCTTGCCTTTCATGCATGAGGCCCTGGGTTCGATTCCTCAGCACCACATAAGCAAAAAGAAAAAAGCTGGAAGTGGCGCTGTGACTCAAGTGGTAGAGCGCTAGCCTTGAGCTGAAGAGCTGAGGGACAGCGCCCAGGCCCAGAGTTCAGGCCCCACGACCGGACCCAAAATAAATAAAACTTGCCACTCTACTTTGTAGTTTTGCCAAACATTGTTTCGATTTGTTTCATGTGTCTCCCAATCATTTAAAAGTTGTAAACGGCAAACTGCTGAGCGGCCTAACACTTCTTTCAAGAAAGGCAAGCTGATGTGTACGAAATGTCATTTTAAGTAACATAATATCTTCTCCTTCCCCAACTGAGCAAATACCCACTGAGCTTCAACTAAGAGACCCACGACGCCAGAATCCAGCTCTTTTGTATAGAGCTCCCTTAACAAATTGTTTTCAATAGGGCTTAAAAACAATCTTTTCCAGTCCAAGCACAGCTATCTTCAGCAGACTGGAAAGCAACCAGATATCACGGTATCCACAACTGCTAAGACCAAAGCTAACCTTCCCCAAGAAAGCAGCGCTTTGGGGGAGAGGCCGGGGCGCCCGCGTGCCGGTGACACTGAAGTCCCTTGGGCAGAGGGAAGACCCCAAAATCCAACACACCAGCGCTCGTCTGGACGTGTCGACAAGGGTTTAATTCGTACCCCTTCCCCCCCGCACCCCGAGGTATTCTCTACCGAGCACAGAAACGGGACTGAGCCTCCGGCCGGTGTTTTCCAAACTGCACGCCCAGGCCGGCCACGTGGCGCTCTTCGGACCCACTCAGGAGCGGTCCGAGCCGGGCGACTCGGTCCAACCTGCCCGACTCCGGGCGCGCCTCCCCCAGCCCCCCCGGGCGCGCCTCCCCGCCCCGCGGCTCCCCGGATCAAAGCGCCTCCCGCCGAAGGGCGCCAGCGGCCGTTCGCTCGCGGCCCGCCCGTTCCTTCCACACAATGCCCCTGGGCGCCGGCTCCCAGACACCCTCGGAGCCTGCGGGCGGGCCTACCCCGACCGGGCACCGACCGCCGCTGCCGCCTGCACGGCGCGCCCCACGGGCCCCGACAGGCCCCGCACCCCGCCGCAGCCTGGACTGAGCTCGTCTTTTCCGGGACTACGTCCCCCCCCCCACCCCGCCCGCCCCGCGCCTCCAAGTCGAGACCCCGACCGACCCCCGGGACGGACGAAGGAGGCCAAGTCTTTCTTCGGCTCCAGCCCCCCCCCTCCCCACCCGACACACACACACACGTGGTCGCGGGAGGCGCGGCCCGCCGCGGGCCCGGCCCTCCGGGCCCCTCCGCCATTTTGTGCCGCTGGCAGAGCGCCCGGCCCGCCAGCCCAAGATGGCTGCGGCGCGGCTCCGCGGGAGAGCCACGGCGAAACAAGACACCGTCCCCTCCCCCACGCCGAGGGGACGCCAGCCGCCATTTTTAATACGTTTCCCGGCCCCCCCCCCTTAACGGAAAAAAACGGCCACCCGGGGTTCCAAGCCGCACGCCCCGCCGGCGGCCGCCACCACGGCTCGGCCCATCCTTAGCGCCCCAGCACCACCACCACGCCCGCCCCGGAGCCCCGGCGCCCGCAGCGCCCCCGGCACTCGCGGCCCGAGGTCGTCGGGCCTACGATCAGATGCAAGGAACCGGCGATCGCAGCGCCTCCCCCGACACCGCCTCGGCGTACCCGCTCGCCGTAGTTCTGCTCGCCGCTGTCGCTCATGACTCCTGCCCGATGTCGTCGCCGCTCGCCCGGCTGCCACTGAACCTGCCAACCCCTCGGGCGCCTTCTTTACAGGAGGCTCCGCCGCGGCCGGGCCGGTGCACCGGATGCTGAGCCGCAGAGACGACGCGCTCAGTGCCACCTCCGCACGGGCTCTAACGCTCGCGGAAGTGACGCGCCGCCCCTAGCTCGGCTCCGCCCGCTCCCCGAACGCGCGCTTTCTTGGCTCCGCCCCGCCCCGTCCCGCCCCGGGCCGCCTTTCCTCCGAAGCTCAGGCTCCTGCCGAACCGGAGGTGACGTTAGCCACGCCCCTCCCGCTGCCCCACCCCTCCCACCCGGCCTCCGGGAGGCGGGAAAGCCAACGAGCGCGGTTGGCCCGGGGGAGTTGGGGGGGGGGGGGTCTGGGGGGCACCGTGACGTCACCAACGAGGTCCGAATCCTCGCTTGGGAAACCGTCGGGGGTGGGGGGCAAGACAGCTTCCATTTCCCCGGCCTGTATCCTCTTTGTAAGTCCAGAGAGCTGATTGTTCTTCGTCTTTGTTTGACTTCGCCTTCAACAACTTGGTTGTAGACCTTCCCTTCCCGAATAAATCTTCATTTCATAACCAGAATAACAGGAACCGCTGTCTGTGCTCTGAACGTGGTTGGAGGAGAACCGTTAAACACGGTTGAGAAGTGAACTGAGCGCTATAGGCATGTACAGTAACATCATAAAGGAGGGGACATGAATTCCGCCAGGAGCCACGAACACATGGTTGGATAGAGTGGGAAGAACTAAGACTTGTTCTCTCTGTAATGTCCTCATGTCAGTTAAAAAAAAGTAACTGGCTGATGAAACATTTAGATACTTGTAAAGGGCCTTTTCACAGGCAGCTTTATTTAGCCATTTAAAAAGTACAATGTAGACACCTTTTCATGTATTTACAGTACCGCACAGCCATCCCCACAATCGATTTTTGAACAATCTCATAGCCATACCTCCTACCAAACCTTTGCAACTGTAGACTTGTCACATATCTACTTTCTATCTGTAGAGTTGCCTATTCTGGACATTTCCTGTAAATAGTAGTACAGGATATGTAGCTGTAACTAATTTTGCTTATCATGTTTTCAGAGTTCAACCATGTTATAAAATGTATTTCATTCCTTTTGTCAATTGTATTCCACTGTTTGGATATATCACGTTTTATTCTTTTGTTCAGCATTCAATGAGCTGAAGGATAGTTACCACTTTTTTAGCTATCATGAATGATTGTACTACTGTACAAGTATTTGTGTGTTTTTAATTCTCTTGGGCTAATACCTAAAGTGGTATTGTTAATGTAGCAAAACACAACTGGTTCTTCCCTTGGTGAGTCCAAGCCAATAAACGGGACCAAAAGACAGAGTGAAGAAAGGTTTATTACTTGCAACAATTGAGAACAATGAGGTTACAGTTTCAACTATGGTTTCTCGTACATTGAATGGAATGCCTCCTCTGCAGAGAATTTAGCATTATAATGAAATTATAATAAGCAAAATTCACTCTAGGTCACTTAGAAGAGGGACTGGATAGTTTGGGGATAGTTTAGGCTAGTTCCTTAAACTGGTTATGATGGAACAGGACTTTAATTCCATTACTCTGGAGGCTGAGACAGGAGGATCAGGAATTAGAGGCTAGCTGGGGGCAGAGCCTGTAATCCCAGCTACTCAGGAAACTGAGAGCTGAAGATTATGGTTCAAAGTTAACCTGGGGAGACAAATCTTTGAGATGTTGGTTACTGGTTACCCTACTTTGTGCTTGCTGACATATCTGGCAGTCTACCACTTGAGTCACTCCCCCAGTCTGACTTTGTACTGATTATTTTGGATATAGAGTTGTTTAGACTTTTCTGCCAGGCTGACTTCAAGCTTCAATCCTCTAGATCTCAGCCTCTAGAGTGGATAGGATTTTAAGTGTGAGCCACTAGTTCCCAGCACTAATCTTTTCATGTTGATCATTTATAGGTTTTCTTCGAAGAAACATCTGTTCTGGTACTTAATTGGATTTGGTGGTGATTCAAAGTAATAATGATCCTCTCTTCTCACAGGTTCTCTAGAGCACACCTCAGCCACTCCTTCAATCTCAATCAGGGACCTGGTGGTCTTATGAATGATATTTATAGTTAACATTTATGAACACACTCTCAGTCTCATACTTAAATACTAATCAATTATTAGACTATTCACCTGGATTTGTCAAAAGTTTCTAAAACATAATCTTTTCAAAACTAAAATGTATTCCCTGGGTACTCTCCAAATATTTCTGCTGGAAGCTTTCTACATTTTCCGCTGTATCTAATTAGTCAATACATCTCATCAATTAAAACACCTTTCCCAGACTAGGGGCACGTCTCAAGTGCCTAGCAAGCACAAAAGGTCTTTGAGTTTAAGAAAAGTCACATGCTAGCCAGGTGCCCCTGGCTCACACCTGTAATCCTAACTACTCAGGAGGCTGAGATCTGAGGATCATGGTTCAAAGCCAGCCTGGGCAGAAAAGTCTGTGAGACTCTTATCTCCAATAAACCACAGAAAACCAGAAGTGGTGCAGCCTTGAGCTGAAGAGCCAAGGGACAACATTCAGGCCCAGAATTCAAGCCCCATGATTAACCAAAAAAAAAAAAAGTCACATGCTAATGTAATACTAGCTATTCAGGAGACTGAGATCTGAGAATCATGGTTCAAAGCCAGCAGGAAAACCTGTGACTTATCTTTGATTAACTACCAGAAAATGGAAACCAGAAGTGTCACTGTTGCTCCAAGTGGTAGAACACTAGCCTTGACCAAAAAGAGCTCAGGGATAGCGCCCAGACCCTAGAATTCAAGCCCCACAACTGACCTTCCCACCCCCCAAATAAAGTAAAATAAAATAAAAAGGCCCTGTGCTTGTGTTCACACATATAATCTTAGCTACTCTAAAGGTAGAGATCTGATAATCAATTAGGGTTTCTGATACATATACACACATATATGTATACACACACACACACACACACACACACACACACACACACACACACACACATATGGAGCAGCAGATCAAGTGGTAGAGCACCAGCCTTAAGAAAAAAGCTAAGGGGCAGTGCCTTAGGTCCTAGCTCCTGAGTTCAAACCATTGTATCAGCACACACACACACACACACACACACACACACATTTTTTCCTCTTCAGATCTATTATCACCATTTATTAAGGCTTCTTGACTCATTTATTTGTAGAATTACAAAATGACTTAGAAACTGTTTGTGGAGTTATTACAAAATGCATAACTTTATTTGAAGTTAGAAATAAGATTCGAGCTTATCTAGAGTCCATGGAGTTCTAAAAGCTAACTCTTTTGACCAATAAGTACTTCTCAGAGCCATCCTCTGTGGACTTGACTGAAAATGCTCCAGAGAATGATTGAAACTGCAAAATTGCAGTGACAAGGCTTGGAACAACTGTGGTCAAATTTTGAAACAATTTAGAATCCATTAGAACTTTGTGGAGTTATAAGTGTGGAAAGGTCTCTAAAGAAACAGATTATGAACTTTTTTTTCCCCTTTTTTTTTTGGTGCCAGTCCTAGGGCTTGAATTCGGGGCCTGAGTGCTGTCTCTGAGCATTTGAGCCACAGCTTTACTTCTGGCTTTTTGGTAGTTGTTAAGAGTCTCATCGACTTCCCTGCCTGGGCTAAATTGAAACCTCAGATCTTAGCCTCTTGAGTAGCTAGGATTATAAGAGTGAGCCACTGGCACCCAGCCTGTGAACAACTTTTTACTAGTAACAAACTAATGCTATAAGATGGTTTGGAGAAGCCACATGGACAATGATAGAAGAACAGAGAAGGCTAGAGGATTCTCGAGGATGACAGGGCAGAACAGAGAGTAGGTGATCAAATAAGTGAGGTGCATCTGGCTTCCTTCCACAGTTCAGGATCCTGGAAGAAGGAGATAAAGGTCTGGATGTGGGAGACCTCAGACCATTTACATGATTTACTGCAGGAAAGATCAAGTAAGGATGCCTCTCTGTGTGGTAGAGGGAGTATGCCAGTACTGAGGCTTGTATTCAGAGTCTAGGTGTTGTCCCTTAGCTTTTTCCATCAAAGCCAGTGATCTACCACTTGAGCCACTGGATTTCCAATGTCTTGGTGGTAAATTGGAAATAAAGAGACTTTCCTGCCGGGGTTGGTTTCTAACCATGGTCCTCAGATATCACTCTCTTGAGTAACTAATAAGTAGGTGTGAGCCACCAGTGCCCAGCTTATATTTACTATTTTCATCTGTTATGTTTAGGTTAAATTCCATCTGGGGTCTACTTTTGTGGGTTGTATGAAATACAGATTTTACTTTTCACCATATAGATACCAGTTTTCCCAGCACTAGATATTAAATAACTGGTCTTCTCCTTTGTAGTACCACAGATTGTTTATATACACAAGTCTATTTCCAAACTACTCTTTCTCATGGGTTTGACTGTCCTTGCAAAAAAAAAAAAAAACTGCTTTGAATATTTTTTTTTTAGTACTAAAGTTTTACAGGGCACTAGTGGCTCACGCCTGTTATCCTATCTACTCAGGAGGCTGAAATCTAAGGATCACAGTTCAAAGTCAGCCCAGGAAGGGAAGTCTGTGATACTTTTATCTGCAGTTAGCAAAAACCTAGAAGTAGAGGTGTGGTTCAAAAGGTAAAGCGCCAGCCATGAGTGAACAAGCCAAAGGAGATCAAGCCTAGTACACACACACACACACACACACACACACACACACACACATTTTATGGTATATCTTTTTAAATGAAAGGACATGCTCTCTACTCTCTTGGACATACACGAGAATACCAGAGGGCTCTGATCTGGTCCTGTTCAACACTTACTTTTTTTCCTTCTTTTTTTTTTTTTTTTTCTTTTCAATATTCTTGTATATGGTCAGAGACACAGAGGCATTGTTCCTTTCTATTCCTCCTCTAAGATTTTGTTGTTGTTGTTGGTGATGAGGCTTGAACTCAAGACCTGGGTGCTGTCCCTGGTTTGGGGAGGGGGTTGATTTTGTCTTTTGGGGTTTTGTTTTGTTTTGTTCTGTTTTTTGTGCTCAAGGCTATTGCTCTACTACTTTGAGCCATAGCTCTACTTCCAGTTTTTTGGTAGTTGATTGGAGATAAGAGCCTAATGGATTTTCCTGC